GTTCCCTAAAGGTCCAGCTGATCTTCCTTGGGCGCCATTTTGGTTCCCTAAAGGTCTGGTCAATCTTCTATGGGCGCCATTTTGTTTCCCTAAAGGTCTAGTCAATCTTCTATGGGCGCCATTTTGGTTCCCTAAAGGTGCAGCTGATCTTCCTTGGGCGCCATTTTGGTTCCCTAAAGGTCCAGCTGATCTTCCTTGGGCGCCATTTGGGTTCCCTAAAGGTCCAGTTGATCTTCCCTGGGCTCCATTTTGGTTCCTCATGCAGAACATTTTGTTACTGAGGGGATGTGAAACATTCAGCTGACGGCGACACTCGTCTGGGTCAGACCGACCCCCCGTCTCTTGGCGACGCCAGTCCTCCCAGAATGCATCAGGATGTTTTCGCTGAAGTCCTTAGGGTGCAGGCGGTCACTCAGAGATTTCTGAAACATAATGAGAGAGAAGTAAAAAAATCACATTTCAGGATGTGATGTACAGTGTTGCCCTGGATATGATGGATAGTTACGCCACAGGTCTGAAAACACCAGACTGAATGAGAATTTGAGGCAAATGAGGCGCATGACTTTTGGTCTACAGGCCACGCCCCTCTTCGGGGGCGGGACTTAGTTTGTCCATGGTCAAATGATGGTTTGTGGTACACAGCTCAGATGATCTTCTTCCAGCTTGTGCGGTGCTCCCAGTTCAAAGAGTAGGCCATGGGCTGACACTGGTCTCCACCATCTCCCATTTCTATTCCTCTGCATCTCTCAGAGAAAATGTTGTACCTTTTTACTGCATTACTTTTTAGATCCATTATCTCCGTAAAATATAAATTAACTAATAACAATGTATTATTACAGGTTAAACTACCCAGCAGTTTAAAAGTCTTTAAAATTAGCTTTTACATTAAAGTGATGGGCACATTAATTTATCAATAATCACAACCCAATAATAAACAACCCCAATTCCAATGAAGTCGGGACGTTGTGTAAAACTTAAATAAAACCAGAATACATGCATTTGCAAAACCTTTTCAACCTAAATTCAATTTAATACACTACAAACACAAGTTATTAATGTTCAAACTGATAAACTTTATTGTTTTTGCAAATATTAACTGACTTTGAATTTGATGCCTGCAACACGTTCCAGAAAAGCTGGGACAGGGGCAACAAAAGACCGGGAAAGTTGAGGAATGCTCAAAAAACACCTTCAAAAACCCAGGGCGTTCATTCCACAGGTGAACAACGGGAAACAAGCGAGTGTCATGATTGGGTATAAAAGGAGCATCCCCGAAAGACTCGGTCATTCACAAGCAAGGACGGGGTGTGTCACCTGGGTGTAGACTCCGTATTTGCCTTTGCGTGCGCAGCAATAGGTGCTCTGGTAGCGAGTGACGTGCGGCCCGCCGCTGTCACCTTGGCAGGCGTCCTTGGCTATTGTGTCGTAGCCGGCGCAGAACATGCGAGTAGAGATGCGCAACTGGGTGGATTCCATGCAGGTGAGCCGATCCACGTAGGGCATGGTGAGGCGCTGCAAGATGGTGGACGGCTGCCGACCCTCGCCGAGACGGCCGAAACCGCTGACCATGCCGTCCTGCTGCTTCATCAGCACCTGCAAGAGGAGGCGAGAAATGTAACACGTAGGGAAATGTGCTTATTCACATTCTTGCAGAGTTAGATGAGAAGATCAAAACCACGCTAATAACTGTCTGTAAGATAAATATAAACAGCAGGTTAGCTTAGCTTAGCATAAGCACTGGAAACAGCTAGCCTGGCTCCGTCTACCAGCACCTCGGAAATTCTCTAGTTAAAGCGATAAATCTCATTTTTACACAACAACCCGAGTGTGAAAACGATTATGTGCTGGACTATTTCTTGGCCCGGACCAGTAACTTCCTGACGTCTGCGCTGGTTGCCTGGCACAGAGCCAAGAAATAGTTTGTGTGTATTATTTAAACAAAAGACGAAGAAGAAGTTCAGAAGTGCTGGAAGGTGGAGTTTGTCACCTTTGGCAGAGCCAGGTCAGCTGTTTCCATTCTTCATGATGAGCTGAGCTAAACAGCTGCTGGCTGTAGATTTCAATTTACCTTACAGACACGAGATCAATCTTCTCGTCTAATGCTCAGGGAGAAAGCAAATATACATTCTAAAATATAGAACTGTGGTTTGACTGGTTTAAAAGTTTACCTTTTCAGCAAAATCTTGCTTTAAGCCTTAAATGTGTGAATCTTTGTCTAAATTATGACACAGTGGGCCCGAAGTTGCGTGCGCATTCTAAAATATTGAACGTGCAATTGTCGTACCTGTTATGGGTGATTTACTAAGAATTATTGCGTAGATGACAACAGGTGCAAACACAGTGGAGGTGGCACCCCAGCAGAAACAGCTACAGCATGCTGGAATGACCCAGACACGACCAGCAGATCGTGCTTCATCCAGCCAGAGGGAACGACCACCGGTCGTCCGCAGCGTGCACGGTCGCCCCGCGATCTCCTATCCCTGTCCGCCCCAACCCCTCTCCAATACCTGCAATGTGTTGTGTCGTTTTAAGAACGGTGATCGTCCCTCTGGCTGGATGAATTTTACACATGATCTGTGCACTACTGCAGCTGGAGGCTCTCCGCAGCGCCACGCAACTTTCTAAAGTCTTCCATCTCACGGAGAAAAGAAGTCAGGTCGAAACCAAAATTTGCTTTATTGGCACGAATGTTAATGCAACACTATCGCCAAATCTAAAGGAAAATACATTATATTCATATAGTTCATGGATAAATAAAACAATTGTATTTCTATATATTAGATATAGAAAAATATTATCTAATGTTTAATTTCTCTACGTCTTAATTAACGAGAACAGCAGCCATCTCCGCGCAACACTTGGCGGTTTTCACCTTCCTTTCAAACATTGTAAATACAGACCTTAGATCACATTGGGTGTAGTAAATGTTACCCTCCCATTACTTTGCACAGTAACACTGAAACGCCCCAAATTGCGTATTCATTACGTCATTCTGCGTGTACACCGTTAGTAGATCAGCTTACGTGTTAATTTGCTGGTGATATCAAGTTTGCACACGTTTTTACTCACGCAGACCTTTAGAGAATCTGACCCTAAGTATCTTACAACATGGACCTGGACATGATTGTCTTACCATAGACTGTCTCCTGGGGAACACTCAAAGGCATCATGTTCCTGCGGTGAGAGTGATGGGGCAGCGGATAAGACACGTGTCTTTGGTGTAGGAGACCTGGTTTTGATTCCCTCTGCAACACATTCACCAATGTGTCCCTGAGCAAGACACTTAGTTAACCCCTAGTTCTTCTGACATATATAGCAATTGTGGCTCTGGATAAACGCGTCAGCTAAATGAGAAGATGCAAAAATACAAACAATTACAAAAAGGAATCAGAGCAAGAGATGGTTAGGGCGGATGGGAGGAGGCCGGTGTCTGTTTGAAACAAAAAGTCAACATGGATTCCTTTTCTACACGTACACAAACGATGCTAAAGGTTACCCAGGGCGTTAAAAAGCAACGCACAGGGGTCTTGACAAAGCGTCCATACGTGATGTTTAGCTGTTAACAAACGTACCTACGTGAGCCGTGGCCAGGTGGAGCAGAAGGAGGCCGAGGGACAGGCGGTGAACCCAAAACATGGCCCCGGGTGGATGGCGAGCTCGTTTTCGTCGTTCTTAAATTAAACCTTGAAATTTTAGGGAATTAAAACGTTTAGGCGGAGCCTCAAGAAGTTCATACAGTCGAGATTCAGTATCTCGGACGTCAGTGGTGGAAAGTAACTAGTACATTTACTCTGTACTTAAATACAAATTTGAGGTACTTTACTTTCCAGTATTTCCATTTCATGCCACTTTCTACTTCTCCGACCATCATCTCAGAGGGAAACATTGCTTTCAACTCTCGCTGCATTTATATGAAAGTTCATGTTGGAAAAAACGTATAAAAATATTATAAACTTGTGAAAACAGCCAAGATTACACTAAAACAATGAATCAATCAGTTGATTTGTAAAAAACACATCAGCGACTGTTTTCAAAACTGATTAATCGTAAAAGTCACTCACGATGAAGCAAAGAAATGTCACATTTAATCTGGAGGATTTGTTGAAAATTTCTGATTTAAGGGAAGAGTCCTTGACAGTTTTTAAAACTGAGATTATAGTTTCTGGTTTTATCTGTTTTTAATTGTATCTTGTTCTGATTCTTGAGGTGTGATTTTGTTTTCTGAGGCGTAACAGCATCTGTAGCTGCATTTATCTGCTTCCTTTTCCTTTTTTTTATATTGTCTGCTCAGTAAGAAGGAATTACAGGTTTTCCATCATAAACCAAAACTGTTTCTGCTTTCTGTTCCACATTTCTGCACTGACCGAGACCAACAGTAAAGTTCTAATATTCCTTTCATACATTTTCTGGAAATTTGCTTAAAATTTGCACTACATTTGGTTGGACACTTAACTACAGAGAGGAAAATAGCAGAAAAGACTTTTGCATTCGATATTTAAATAAAAAGACAAAATAAATTTTATTGACAAGAGCTGTGAGTTTGTTTAGAGGATTTCACCCACACGTTTACCTTCCTTGTACGTGCTGAAATGTTGGCTGATTGAGTTTGGCAGCGACTCCGTTCAGAGGGGGGAGGAGTTTACAGTAAATGAGAGTCGACCAGGTCTGTTTTACTGCTAAACATGTTCAACACAACTCAGCTCAGACGTTCAAACTGATCGATATTTACTCTGCAGAGTAAAACATTGATCGGCTGTTTTATATTATATTACTTTATTTTATATTCTCATTCTCAAAGTTTTTACAGAGGTCACATAAATGCAGTGGTGTTAAAGGACAAGTAGCGTAAAATTAAGATAATCAAGTAAAGTACACGTAGTATGTTTTATCGTGTTAAAATCACATTTATTTATTACTTTATACATGTCATGAGATGTAAGAGTAAGAGATTTTTGTAGTGTAGTTTTGCATGGATGAGGTCACTGAATATTAGAAGAATGTTCTATTAAATGTATGTTTTTATTTGAACTGTAGAAATGAAAGAGCTTCTCTAAAAGGGAGGTCGTCTGCAAAGAAGCGAGTATCTAATAGTTTCAGTGACTTCGCCAGTTCATCAATATATGGAAGAACCTCTTTATTTGGGAATGATTATGAGGATAAGCTGGAAAACAATAACAAACCTCGTCCTTGATCTCACTGAATCATTTCTGTTCCTGTCATGACTAAAGTTATCTCACTTTTCTTTAAGCGAGAGAAGAATTCTGTTTGTTTGTACAACTTGTTAAAGGTTCATATTTCTAAATCCGAACAGGTTGTTTGTTCAAAAGGCATTCGCTGTTAGGATTCTCTCATTCTATGATCCACCATAACATTTTTTCAGCATGTAGACCAGAACCTCAGCAGTGAGCACAAATTAATCGATATTTTAATAGTAAATAAAAAAATGTTACCCCACAAAGGGAACTGGAAACTTAAAACACTTTGACATCACAATCATAATAATGTTTCATGATGAATAAGACATTTGAAGCATAAAATCTTTCCATCATCTTTTATTAAACTACTTTCTGTTCCAACGTGTCGAAAGCCGTCACTGCAGCTTTCTTCTCATTGGCTGTCTTCATGGTGGGCGGATTTTTCATAGTGGTCTCTACCCAGTCCACAAAGTTGGCCATCTTGGTGTACACCCCATAATACCCCGGGTGCGAACAGCCCCGCCCCCAGCCGACCACGCCCGTCAGGAAGTGGGTGGAGCCGTAAAGCGTGACCAGTGGGCTCCCGTCGTCCCCGCGGCAGCTCTCCCGCTGACCCTCCAGGTATCCGGCACACAGCATGTTGTCGGTGAAGTTGAACCGGGCTCTCTGGGAGCACTGGGAGTTCTGGATGATGGGGACGGGAAACTTGCGAATGACGGGGGAGACTGGGACAACGGGCGGGCCGCTGGGTTTCACAGCGTTGCCCCCGGCGGTCCTCTTGCCCCAGCCGGACACGGTGTGGTAGCGGACCGGCAGGAGCTCCCGCTCGGCAAAGTCTTTAATGGGCAGGCAGATGGGGATGGCGTGGCGATTCAAGGTGACGGGGCGACTCAGCTGCAGCAAGGCAACATCGCTGTCACCCGTCGCTGGGACATAGGCTTCATGGGCGACCGCCAGGGAAACGGGAATCCTCTGCTCCGTGCCCTCTTCAACGTCCAAGTGGTGTTCCCCTGGTGACGGAGGAAGAAACCGTTAAACGAGGCATTAGAAACGTGATTTTACTCGTTAGAAAGCACCGGCTGGTTACCTGCCACCACAGCGAGGTTCTGAGGGTTGATGCCATGGACACAGTGGGCAGCGGTGACGACCCAGTCCGCATTGATCAGAACACCTCCGCAGTGACTGCTTCCGTTTAACTGAACCAGAACCTGATCAACAGATAGATCAATAATTTTAAATGTGTTAAATATTTGGCATTAAGCTGTTTGAACACTGGGCTCAGTAGGTTCAGAGCTCCAGAGCAAGATGTCAACAATAATGATTAAGGTGAAGTTTGATGTGGGTATTATCGGTCCCAAGAGAATGAACTTTGATGATTTATGTGTCCCCTTGAATTTTCTTAGAGCGACCAACCTGTTCTCACTCCCAAGTCTTCACATATGATCTCATGTTCAAGAACCATTGGTGTCCATTTGTAACGCGCTGGAGATCCCCTTAAGGCTCGAATATACTCGTGAGCGGCCGTGCACACGGACAGCTGCGGACCCCGCAGATTAATTGTTATGTGCCAAACTGAATAATGAATTCTAAAGTAGTGTATTGCACACTTTTAATTTAAATGTACTGCTATATACACAAAAGTGCAATAACATGTGGTTTGCAAACAATTTAAATAAATAAGGGGCTTTATTTAAAAGTAGCAATAAAATCTCAACTTACTTACTAGTAATCTAAAGCAAGTAATGTTACTTTAGTTATGTAAGTAACGTAAAACATGATCTTTTCTTAAACCTAACCCAACTTTGTTGTGTATATTTGTTGTGTACACTGAACTTGGAAGAGACTTTGGTCAAGTAGGGTTCATTTTAAATATGCTGTATAAATAAATTTGAACTTGAGCCTACCAAGTAGTTGCTACCTTTCACAATGTTAACCATTAGTTTTATTTTGAAAGTCTAACTGGATGTTGCTTCTTTATCGTTGGTAACTTGACACCCCAGAGTGTTAAAAAGGGCACCTCCATTATGGCAGCAGCATAAGAAGTGAGCTCCCCGACTTTAAACTTTTGAACGCCCTATTCACTTGTCAGGAGGCAACTGACCTCCAGGTTAAATACAAGTTATAAAGGGAAAGTTTTGAGGGAGAAGAAAATACGCTTCCAAACTCCGTTCCCGGCAAAATTACAGGTGTTCTACAAGGGACAGGTGACAGTGGTGAAACCTACAGAGTGGGCCAGAAAGCATCAAGCGCCTAAGTTGGCAGGCCAGCCGGCCAAAAAAACGTTAGGAGGAACTAAGACGACATCAGATGGACTTTGGATTTAAGGACAGGATATGAGTAACGTTGGTTTCTGTATACTTGGATTATGTTCTGCACAAGATTACGGTGAGAAAGGCATATCTGTTTTTTTGTATTGTCTTGAGCGGTACTGGATTATTTAAAGGTACTAATTTTTAAAAAAGGGCGATTTCCTCTACGTGTTTGATATATATATTAAAAAAACAAAAGTCGGGGAGGCTTTTGTTTTTCTATAGCTTCTTAGTTTTTATTATTTTATTTTTTAAGTCTGTTTTTTCCCTGAGCTGTTGGACACGTGGACGATGCTGACTACAGCATAGAGCATAGCTTCCCAGAGTTAAAGGGGGACTAGCCCTGCCCTGTCCTAAGAGCTATTATCAGACGGCACCATTAAAAACTATGTGGACCTTGTGTAATCCTGCCTACAGGGCGAGATGGAAGGAAATCGAAGGCCACACGTCCAATATTCCAATACAGGCCAAAATAAATGAGAAAACACTGAGAAAACATCTTAATGAGGAGCTAAATCCATGGTTGGGTTTATCCCTTAATATTTGGCTGGAGATCGTGTCAAAAAATAGCCTTCAGAGCAGAGTAGGTTACTGCGTTGGATTGCACGTGATTCAGATTTTACACAATACATTAGAAGAATGTATAGTGAATGTATAGAATGTATTAGAAGCTTCAGTAGATGGGGCGGAGGACCAACAATATTTTGGGAGCTTTTTAAGAAGAAGAAAATTAAAAGTTTTGAAGAGCTAAAAATTCAATTTGGTTAAAAAAAAATATCTTTTGGGAATGCCCCTATATCATACCTTATTGGCAAGAATTAAAGAAAAGCATGGAGAAAATTTTGAAAGTGGAACTTCCATTTACATTTGTTGTTTTGTACTTGGGAAAAGGGAACCAGAGAATAACAAATTCAGGGGATAAATATTTATTCAGAGTAATATTAGTGGCGGGTAAAAAAGCCATCACCAGGAAGTGGCTGAAAACGGAGGCACCTAAAATGGAGGATAGGTTTGAAGTGATGCATAATATTTTTATTATGGAAAAGCTGACTTTGTCGGTTAGACTAGAATCAGATAAATTTAGGATTTCATGGGATAACTGGGTTGATTTTGTAACACCATTGACAACAGACTTTATCTGGTAAAAGCAAAGTATCTTGGGTTTTACTACTTTTTAACTTTGTGTTCAGCATTATCCTTCATCAGGAGTGAAAGGTCTCTGCAGGAGAGTAATGAGGGACGGTAGGGGAAAATGTATTCATCTGTAGTTTACTGATTTTTGTGTTTAATTGGGAATTTCTGTCTATTCATGTTTTTGATACCTGGTGTGAAGTATTTGCATGTTCTGTCTACATAGAGAACTACGGAACAGGATTAGGGCCACATGTGAATTAATTTTTTTGAGTTCTGAGATTAAAGTCAGAATTCTGACTTTTGTTCTCAGAATTCTGACTTTAAACTCAAAATTCTGACTTTAATTGCAGGCTGTTTCTCAATTCCGAGTTCGCCAAGTTCGGACTTCTGTATTTTAAAGCTCGGACTTGGCAAGTTCGGCTCGGCAGTACAAACTTCCAGGAACGGGAGCACGCAGTCCGTCATTCAGCAATTGGAACGGCAGCGGACTTGATGACGGCCGGACCGTAAGTGGGCGGGATCTCACATCTCCGAAAACGTCGTAGCAATTTTTTAAATCAGCTCTGTCTTGAGAAATCAACCAGATATTTGTAGTTTAAACAACTATATTCCCGCATTACAAACTCTTAAAACTACTATATGTGACACAAGAACAGCAGGATTATAAATTACAGTTCTGAGTTTTCTCGTCCGACATTTCCGCTTTTTGGCAGCGAAATGCATCCTGGGATATCTGGCTATCCGAAGTCCACACAAGTCACCACCCATGCAGGCTGGGTAAAACGGGCGGAGCGAGAACACATCCGGGTATTTGACTGTGCTTGGCTAGATGCGGACTTTTGAATTGGAACAGTACTTTGGCTGCAACTGATGACGTTTCACAAGTAGAGACAAGAACGCAGACTGAGAAACAGCCACATGGGACCCTAATCCTCTTCCGTAGCGAACATATGTGAGAGAAGTTAAATGTTAATGGGACAGTGCTGAATGGAATCAATAAAAAGTGAATGAAAAATGTTTTTTAAATAAAGAGGGGTCTTGACCAAGCGTCCACATGTGACGAGTTAGTGGGAATGTTGTTGCACCAACAGGACAACATTTAACAAAATTTCGGATATATTTGCGTGAAATGTCTCGATCCCATTGCTGCTCCCCAGAGGATGAAACCTTTAGATTTTGATGTCCCCATGATGGTTCCTGCACCCTCAGGACAAACTTGGAGGTACAGCGGTGTTTACCTGCCAGGGACACTCTCCTCTGGGACAGTGGTTAGCTCCCACCAGCCTGATCTGACCCACAGCGCTCTGGTTCATACCGGTTTCCCGTGGAGGCAGCTGACCACACGGATACTCCACTGTAACACAAACACCACTGTAAACAACTAGTGATGTACTCGCTTTTAGCGTTGCGAATGTGTAGAGACAAGTGGCTGCGATGTTAGCATCACTGTTCAGACATTTATCCACCGGGGGGGGGGGGGGGGCAGGTCAGGCCTGAATCTAAAGCTGCTTGAGAAATTCAGATTTTGGTTGGTTACTTAATCGCTAATGTTAAGATCACAGCTTTAATTGATAAGTAATTTCACAGTGAATGAATTGATCACAATGTTATAGTTTAAATGCCAAAACAAGATCACTACCTGGTTTTATTGGAACTATTATGATAATAAACTGGATATCTTTGGGGTTTTTGGACTGTTGGTTAAATAAAACAATCTGTAGACACTAACTTGGACTTTTATTAACAATAATCAGATTAATCTAACAAATATTTGTTAGTTTCAGGCCTATTTACAGAAAAAGTGACTTGAATAGGCAGGGGTAATCACAGTACTCACAAATGTCTCATCTCAATAAATGCAAGTACATCAGTACTGTAAAGAAGTAGTATTCATGTCGTATTTGTACCTTGAGCGATACACTTTCGTCCGTCGACTCCCAGATTATATCCGTCAGCGCAGGAACATTTGAGACTCTCTCCCGAGCCGTCACAGAAATGCTCACATTGTCCGTTCTGGTAAAGACACTTCAGTAAGTCCTCCACCGCTGAGGAAAGTAAAGGTTACATTATTCAAATATAATGTACAATAAGTTATTAATTCATAAACATTCAGTGGAACAAGTCGTCAGGTCTTTTTTTTAATATAAATACCACAGTGTAAAAGTTAAGTTGCTGGACAGCTTTTGAATTCCCCCTGGGATCAATAAAGATGTATCTAAACCTATCATAATACAGCATAACTTATTTGTTGTTGTTATTCATCAGAATCTGCTAAGTAACTAAAGATGTCAGATACATGTAGTGTAGTAAAAAGTACAATATTTCCCTCTGAGGTGCAGTGGAGTAGAACCAGCGGTATCTACGATCCTGGCAAACGACCCCACTGAGGCTGAATAGCTGAGTTTCCCTGCCAGTCAGTCAGAACTGAAGAAGTCTCTCGGATGAGTGACGAAACGTCTTCTAGTATCTTCAACCAAGTCCAGTTGCCCTTGACTTTACCCTTCTTTGGATAATTGTGTTTACCTGTCTCACAGTATCGTCCCCCAAATCCGATCCAGATTCAATCACAGTATTTTGGTGAGACGTAACTTTGAAGACTAAACTTTTTTGTTACGGTGCCTGACATCACCCACAAACTGAAATATTTCTAAATTAGCCAGTTTAGTCATTTTGACAACACAGAACGAATGCCTTACCAACATAATTGGCCCAGAATTCATTCTGCAAAAAAGAACAACTGAGAATTAAATATCTCAAACCAACTTAACACCTGATCAGTATTTTTCAGTGAGGAGCGATTAAACCTTGTAGGCATGTTCCATGCAAAATATTTGAGCCATTGGATCTGAAACTTGGAGATTAAAGAGCAAATCTGACTCATTTAAAACTCCAATGTGTCTTTTCTATATGTTGGTTGTTGTTTGTTAGCAAGTCCAAACTAAATCCAAGAATTAGCTTCAATGCTAACTGTTCCAAAAACCAGAAATCTCTTTTTTCTACACTTGTTCAATAAAGAAGATCCAAATGTCAATCTGGCAACTGTGGAGTTGTTGGAAGAGGTTTTAATGGAGCTATGCTAGAGTAGCTTAAGCTAAGCTACGCTACGATCTTGTTGTCTGATTCTGGGTAAAACAGCAGGGTTTCCCAAAGTTATGTGGTTGTTTCTTCGAGACTTGTTATGATGGATTTTGTGCGACAGCAGTGTTGGTGTGTAGTTGCAGGAGGTCTGTACAGTTTTGTCTACGTCTTCGAAGATCTCTCGCGCCTCCTCCCAGCTGCAGCGCTCCTCCACACACTCCCTCTCCATGTTGCCTGCTTTAGTCTCCTCAAAAATGCTGTTGGCTCGTCTCTGCCGCTTCAGCACCTGACTGGCCTCCTCGCCGTCCAAGAAGACTGGTGAGAGAACAGAAATGTGGATGGAAACTCATCGCTTCCCACAAAAACAAAGGCTTCAACCATAATTAAGTATAATGAAAATGTTCAAACACTATTAATTTCACTATTAGTTTTGAAACGCAAAACGGGGTCGGCAGCGTTTCCAAATGTCTCCGTTTTTAGGTCTTCGTTTTTGTCGTTTTAGTCTGGAGCCTTAGGAGTGGTGACAGGGCCGGGTGCAGGGCGTTAAAGTACAGGTTTACCAAGGAGGTGCGAGAAGCGTAACGACAAACATCGCCACTTCTGTCCTCTGCTGAGCTTCAGCCCCAGTCCACGATCTCCTCCTCCCCCTCCTCAAAGTTGGCCAGCTCTCCCAGCTGAACGTGCCTCACTCATCTGTTCGACCTGGTGCAGCCAGAACAGTCTGGAGCTCAACGCTCTGAAGACCGTGGAGATGCTCAAAGTCAATGATGGTGCTTCTACACCGCCATCATTGAGTCCATCCTCACCTCCTCCATCACCATCTGGACCAGAACCTCTCGCCACAAGAACAGCTTTTTTTTTCACTGACACTGCAGATGTATATTCTGCAAAGGCACATCTTGAGTTTACATGTTAACGAACGTACCTACGTGAGCCGTGGCCAGGTGGAGCAGCAGGAGGCCGAGGGACAGGCGGTGAACCCAAAACATGGCCCCGGGTGGATGGCGAGCTCGGCTGGAAAAACCTCAGTGTGCTGAGTGGAAGTAATGGAGTCTGAATGTGGAGAGAGAGAGAGAGAGGAGGGGTGGTAGAGAGGGCAGTGACCTGTAGAGAGAGAGGGAGAGAGAGAGAGGAGAGAGAGGAGGGGTGGTAGAGAGGGCAGTGACCTGTAGAGAGAGAGAGAGAGGAGGGGTGGTAGAGAGGGCAGTGACCTGTAGAGAGAGAGGGAGAGAGAGGGAGAGAGAGAGGGAGAGGAGAGAGAGAGAGAGAGAGGGAGAGAGAGGGAGACGGGGGAGGGAGGGGTCGACATGTTGATACTGAGCAGATCGGACTGGGCGGGGCTTAGCTCCAGGGCCGGTATTTATCAAGCTTCTTAAATGCCATTTTAGTCTTAATAAATAAATAAAATTCATGAAATTTACTCCTACTTTTAAACTTAACTCACTCTGACTGGAATTTCTGAATTAGCCTATTTGACGTTATTATTATTTTAGTTATTTTGAATCTCACCTGTGAACTTTTGAGTTTTAAACCATTGGCAGTTGTTACTTTCTCTGTCTTGGAAACGTAACAACGGACGTATCTCGGATGTCAGTGGTGGAAAGTAACTCTCAGAGGGAAATATTGTACAAAAACAATGAGACAATTAGTTGATTCGTTAAAAAAACACATAACTGATTAATCGTAAAAGTCGCCTTTGAAGCAAAGCCATGTTTCCATCTTGTTTTCCATCGTTTGAACTTTGACTGGATCTTTAAAGGACGCCAATAACTGAGAAATGATGGAAGGATCAAGCATCTGGAAATTTGCTTACAATTTGCACCACATTTGGTTGGACACTTAACTACAGAGAGAAAAATAGCAGAACAGACTTTTGCATTCGATATTAAAAAGCAGAGCACAGCTGAGAGTCTGTTTACAAAAGATGTTGCATCAGCGCTGACGCTGGGAGGATTTCACCAACACGTCTGCCCTCCTCGTATGTTGTGCTTCCCTTCAGAGGAGGGGGAGGAGTTTACAGTAAATGAGAGCTCAGCTCAGGAGGTGAAATGATCAATATTTACTCTGCAGAGTGAAAAATTGATCAGCTGTTCTCCTTACTTAAATAAAAGTAGCACTTTAATATTAGTTTTATCGTTTATTGGGATTTTTATGGTGCACAGTTTAGTAGTGTAATGTACTTTCTCTCTCTGAATATTAAAAGATTTTTCTATTAAATGTTTTCATTTGAACTGTAGAAATGAAAGAGCTTCTTGTATCTAAAAGTTTCAGTTCATCAATATATGGAAGAGCCTCTTTATTTTTTCTTTGGTCTACAATGAAATTAAATGAATATCAGGAGTTTAGAATAAGAACTATGAAAACTTCAGCCTCTTCTAAATGACTTCATTTGCATTTTTAAAAAAAGGTAGGAATATTTTATGTTAGACTCATTAGATCTAATCAAACTAAATCCAGCAGAAACGAGAAGATGACTCATGTTGTTTCCTTCTGTTTCTTCCAGCAGCTGAAACTGATGAACGGCCTGACGCTTCATTTCCACCTTCTCATGGTGACACACACTCACTTTCTACTTGGTGCTCCTCATGATAGTTTGGCTGAAACCTCGTCATGTCCCATCTGAATATATTTCATGTCCTCACTCTACAGATTTCCTTCTACAGTCCCGCAGCAGCCTTTCCCTCAGACCAGGTCAGCACATTTACAAATGTTGCCTGACATTACATCAAACTTCCACATCCTCTGAACTGTCTTCTAACACTCTGAGCTGTTTGATCTGAGACACTTTGCCTCTCTTTCTTAGAGCTTTTCACGTCTTCCTTTGACGTCTGACTCCAAAATTAATTTATAGGTTTGAACCCACGGCCCCAGAACACCTGTAGAGCCAGCTTAGCCCCCTGAGCTACCGGGCCAGAGACTCTGAGCTCATCATGTTGTCGGACTTCAAACTTATTTAAGGATCCTCCACCAGCCTGAGCTAACGTGCTGGAGAGCTCTGAGTGCTCCTCCATGGAGATTTGACTCCAAACTGCAGGTCTTTTCAGATATTGTCTTTTTATTTCTTCAACCGTGTTGAAAGCTAAGAGCTCATGAGTCTTTGGTTTCAACATCAGCTTTTAAGATGGATCAAACTCATGCTAATGCTACTGCTAATGACCAAACACTGCAACCTATTAAACATCAGCCTCAGCTGTTCTTTGTGTTTCCTGCTCATAAGCAAAGGTCAGCACGCTAAGCTAAGATGGTGAACATTAAACTTTCTGCATGTTAGCATGTTGCCTCTGTGAGTCCTCCAACAACATCTGAGCTCTCAGAAAGAGAGACACACAAAGACTTTTAGAAACTTTCTCTCCGGTCTCAGACACAGAGTTTATCTGCTGAGGAAGAAATGTTGGTCAAACATTTCCTATACGAGTTCTTTAATCCACTTTCATTAAGGACTTCTCAATGGGACGTAACTGCAGGAAGGAGAGTTTCTTTACCGTCCGTTAACCTGCCAACGTTGGGACGGGAGTTAGTTTACAGTGGAAACTTTAAATTATTCTTAATCCACTGGAAGATTTCTGGTGAAAAATGAGAGTTTAAAGACTGTTTACAGACAAAACCACCTGTGAAACTCTGTAAAAGGCTCCAACAGGCGCTCTGCTGGCTTCAGACTGTGAGATTGAGGGTTCAGGCCTCAACTAGTCTTTGTGTTCGAAACAACATGTCTGGCCAGCGAGTGAAGCGGCTGCACAACTGATCTGAACCTGAAAGGTTCAAACCATGTCGTGACTGAAACGCTTAGAGGTCATTCAGTTAATCAGTCAGCTGTGCAACAGACTGAAACCACAAGAAGCTTTAAAACCAGAGCGGGCAGCGTGTCTGGCCCGGTGGCTCGGGGTGTTCGTTACCTTTTCAGGTGTTCTGAGGCCGTGGGTTCGATCCCCGCTCAAACCTATAAATTAATTTTGGAGTCAAAGGAAGAAGTGAAAAGCTGTAAGAAAGAAAGAGTCAGTGGCTCAGATCAAACAGCTCAGAGTGTTAGAAGGCTGCTCAGAAGCTCTGTGGACGTGGGTTCGATCCCCGGGTGACTCTTTAAGTCTGAACCACACTCAGAGGAAACAGTGAGAAGCTCATAAGATGCTGCTGGTGTCTTGAGGTTGTGGGTTTGATCCTTAAATAACTTTAGGAATTTTGAGGTCCGACCCTGAAAGGAAAGACTGAAGAGCTGACAACACCTTAGTGTCAGAGTCTCTGGCCCTGTGGTTCAGAGTGTTAGAAACCTCTACAGGTGTTTAGAGGATGTGGGTTCGATCCTCACTCCTTTCAGAGACTTTTGAAGTTGGTGGTCCAAAGGAAGAAGTGAAAAGCTGTAAGAAAGAAAGAGTCAGTGTCTCAGATCAAACAGCTCAGAGTGTTAGAAGGCTGCTCAGAAGCTCTGAGGTTGTGGGTTCGATCCTTATGAGGCTCAGTGACTTTTGAAGTCCAACAGCCAAAGTGAGAAGATAAAAGCGCCCGGAGAAAAGGTTCAGATGTGAAGGGGACTCGGCGGCGGCGTGGGGTTCGATGGCGACCGCGAGGCGGCGGTGCAGCGGTGGTTCGAATCCCGCGTGCGGCCGGGTACCCGGAGCCGGTCCCGCGGCGTCGGGTTCGGGAGGGGGCCGTGTCCCCTCCCGGTGTTCTGGAGAGGTAGAAGCTGGGGGTTATGGAGCGGGAAACAGGAAGTGGCTGAAGATGACTGACAGCACAAGGTCTTTATTGGTCCAGAACAGGTGCTGCTGGGACTCGTGGTGTCAGCTGTCCTCCAGGTGCAGCAGCTGGAAGCGAGTCTTCAGGGCGTGTCCCCAACAGCCTGGAAGAGACAGAAGAAGAAATGAGTCCACAGGTTTGTGACGAGTGAACAGTTTGAAAATCCATCAGTGAGTGAAGCTGCAGACAAGAAACAATAATCCATTCAACAAACAGAGTGTTTCCATGGAGATGATGATGTGAAGCAGCGGTGGAAGAAGCAAAAGCAGCAGCGGCACAGTGTAAAAGTACTGTGTTCGAGTCCCAGTAACAGTATAAAGCATCCTTTATATAGCGCTGGCTATCTGAAGCTAACATGATCCATCAACATGTGATAGTTACTGTGTGTTTGTGTTAATAATGTGCAGAGTGAGTAAAAAGTGCAGCATTTGGCCTGAAATGTAGTGGAGTCCAGGTCTAATGAGGTCCAGGTCAGATGTAATGTCAGTAATATCAGTGTGAGCAGTGGATCAGTAGAATCTGAAGCTGATACAGTAGCAAGTGTATTTAGTGTTAGTTCATTTAGTGTGAGCATGTGAAGAAGAAGAAGAAGAAGAAGAAGAATGTGCTGACCTGGTCTGAGGGAAAGGCTGCTGCGGGACTGTAGAAGGAAATCTGTAGAGTGAGGACATGAAATATATTCAGATGGGACATGACGAGGTTTTGCTAGTTCTTGTTCTAAACTCCTGATATTCATTTAATTTCATTGTAGACCAAAGAAAAAATAAAGAGGTTCTTGCATATATTGATGAACTGAAACTTTTAGATACTCGCGCGTTTCTTTCTTGGTGAAATCCTCCCAGCGTCAGATCCCGACCAGCTGAAAAATGAAAAATAAGAATTTAGAAGACACAAATGTCGACACAGGAGGCAGCAGTCCCAGCACAAAGTATGTTTCAGCTTCACTCATTAATAAAGCTTCATCTGAAACAACACGTTACTGCTGAGATGACGTGTTTATCAGAGAATAACGGGACATTAATGGGGACTTTAAGGATGTATGTTTCTTAACATTAAATGATGGTGAATGAGTGCATCAGTCCGGCACGTCATCATGCCATTACCTCTTTCTTCCTGAGCATGAGTGTTTCTTTGTGCGTGTGTAATGGCTTGAATGGAGGTTCAAGGCTGTGAGCGCAGTCTAATGGGTTTATATTTACCTGATGCTGCTCAATTTGTTCCATTAGAAAAACAAAAACACGGCCCGTCAGAGGAATGACTTTACTGTGAGTGACTTCAGCTTCAGAAACAACAGAATACAATTTAAGGGACGACTTGGGTTTGATCTAAATAAACTACAATAAAAACACTGAAATAGAACAACAATATCTGTAGTATTTTGCAACAGATAACGTTGACGTGAGTTTAGACAGAAGCCTGTGAGGTTACAACCCGTTCACAAATAGGCAATAAAAAATAAAGATCACACAGCTAATTTAACAATACTTTTCATATCTTTCAATAGCGATAATTATCACGATAAATATCAAATCGTTATTTCGTTGGAGTTTAAAGGCTGTTTTTTGCTCCTGAGTGAACTTAAACTCTTTAAACAGTGGATCAATTCACAAATCTGAGGTACAACGTTCAAAACTATTATGATAAAATATTTGTAAACAAATATGCACGAGTAAAAAAAAAAAAAAGTAAGGAAGATGCATTTGTTGCGGCATTTGCTGGTTCGCTCAGCGAGAAATTTGCTTGACACTAGTTGACTATAGTGCTTTCCACACGAGACAACAAATATCAGTGTTTCCTCTATATGCATTCAGGAGGTTTCTCATGTTGCCTATTTTTATATTACTGTCTACAGATACCTGTGTGTATATATATATATATATATATATATATATATATAACCTGTCAGAAGCTGTAAAATGAAGACACAAACATGAACAGTCGTGTCTATAATGATTCTCATTATAGACACGACTCATAATGAGGGGGTGACGCCCAAAACATGCAGTGCCATCACTGTAAAATCACTTTCCCCAGATCTAAAGCTTGTAGTTCCTCCAGCAGGCTGATCTTTGGCTGTTGGTTATTTATTATCTGCTCTAGCTTTTCTTTGTTCAGAGATATGGTGAAAATAATATGATGATTTTTTATTGGAGCAAAGTTGGGGTTGTCACGGGTTGTGTTTATTCGTGTTATTCACGCGAGGATTAAATTTTAGACTCCTAGTGCAGCTTTTAAGAAGATTTCTTAGAGGAAAACCTTGCGGTGGAAGCTCGTCATGCACGTAGACCTTTAGAGAAAACTTCCAGGTGGGTGGGCGACGTTATATTCGTCACCTTTCCCTGGACGTAGTGAGATAAACCCTCACCATTAGAGACACTGAGGCTTCAGACAAAGGGAAGCAGGTGTGTGTGTGTAACTGTACACCCTGACCCGCAGGTCTGAATCCCGGCTTCCCTCCGATGACGGCATGTCGGTTCGGCGTTAATCTGCAAAATCTGCCGGCTGACATTTAACAAACAGTGAGGCTCTGAATGGAGATTTATACGGTTTCTGGTCTTTGGTCTAGTGTAGTGTGTAACGATCCAATTAAGGCTGCAATGACTGTTTTCTGTTTTCTGTTTAATTAACTGACTGAAGGTTGATTTTATTTGTGTGTTTGTAATTTGTAGAGACATTGTTCCTCTTCCTCATTATTTTTTCCCCCATAAAAACTGGAACGTTTTTAAGAGTGTGTGTGGGAGGAGGAGGAGGAGGAGGAGGAGGAGGAGGATCCATGTGTGTTCACAAGCATGAATGAACGTGTCCTTGGCTGACAGAGTATAAAAGTCGGCCGAGTGGTCGGAGCGACAGAAGAGGAGAGAAATCGACAGAAACCTCCGAACGACAGGAAAACAACAGCAATAAGAGAAGAAGAAGAGACGCAGAGCGACAGGACAGAGTGGTGAGAATCTTTATCATCATTATCCATATCTGTACAAAATCAAAGACTTAACTACACAAGCAAAGTCAGAAAATAACTTTTAACTGAAGAGGACGATGAAATGACTGAAAACATCAATTTAAAATTCAATAATTATATACAGTAAAGAATATATAAAAATACAAGTTATATAAATATTACCGCTGCTACTAGTACTAATTAACCGATGTACTATTATTAAAATATATACAAACTATGAACACAGCCGTGAATAACCGTGTCTTTGTCTCCGGTCGGCAGGAGAATGTGTCCTGCGTGGCTATTGGCGGCTGCGGTGCTTGTGGGCGTGGCCAGAGGAGCTGTGGGTCAGTGCTGGGAGCATCCGAGCTGCCAGGAGCTCGACTCAGAGAGCAGCATGCTGGTAACACTCCCGTGGTGTTTAAACATTTATTATTATTATTATTAAGTATTTAAGTTTTCATTTGTCGTATCTGTGGGAGCTAAATAAAAGGTTTCCACGCTGTTTGTTAATAAAGTTTAACCCCAAAATAACTTTCTATCGTTTCGTGTCACAACATAAAGTCTCCAAAATGAAGTTACAAACCAAAGCGCACTCAGGTCGAATCAGGATTATCAAGTCTCGCCTGCCGTCCACTGACCTTCGAATCATGGGTGCGTTTGCGCGGCGGCGATGGCGCGGGGGAGGAGCGGGGGGGCGTGGTTACACACTGCCATTTAGAACGGAAATCATTTAAATAAACATGAAAGTTCAGGCTTATTGAAATATTTCAGTTTAATGAAAATATACTGTATAAAGCTTTATTATTTCTTGACCCTGCTACTTTATCAGCGGGTGTTGTTACTGTTCTTCTTGTTCATCAGTATGAGAGAATGTTTTAATGTGTTGCAGACTCTCAGAAAGGACCCATAAGGAGTCATTTCCATCACTAGTTAGTTTTTGAGAACGCTCCTGACCAACATCCCGTTCTCCTGTTTCCTCATCATTTTAAACTCAGAACCATCCAGACTCACATTTACAGTTTTCTCTGTTTGTTCTTATTCGGTTTAATAATAAATGTACTTTCCTACCTTCTCGCCCTCGTCTCCTCCTGCAGGAGTGCATCCAGCTTTGTCACTCCGACCTCACCGCCGAGACCCCTGTCATCCCCGGGCAGCGCCCACCTCCAGCCTCCGCCTCCATCCGACTCCTCCTCCTCCTTCATCCTGCCTTCCTCCTCTCCTCAGGCCAAGCGCTCCTACTCCATGGAGCATTTCCGCTGGGGGAAGCCCGTCGGCCGGAAACGCCGCCCGGTCAAAGTCTACACCTCCAACGGCGTGGAGGAGGAGTCCGCCGAGGTTTTCCCCGGAGAGATAAGGAGGCGGGAGCTGGCCACTGCGTTGTTGGCAGCAGCTGAGGAGGAGGAGGAGGAGAAGGCGCAGGAGGTGATGGAGGAGGAGCAGCAGCAGCTCCTGGGCGACGTCCAGGAGAAGAAAGACGGTTCGTACAAGATGAAGCACTTCCGCTGGAACGGCCCGCCGGCCAGCAAACGCTACGGCGGCTTCATGAAGAGCTGGGACGAGCGCAGCCAGAGGCCGCTGCTCACGCTCTTCAAAAACGTCATCAACAAAGACGGACAGCAGGAGAAGTGAGAGGAGGAGGAGGAGGAGAGGGAGAAAACGTTTTACACAGGCAGCAAAGAGTTCTGATTGGCCAGGGAAGCTTCTTAGCAGACACATTAGCGACCAATAACAAGCTCTGAAACTGTAACCTGATCCTGAATGACTGAAACAGATAAAGAGTGAGAACGATGTTTTGATATCAGGTCATTTATGTAAATAAATGTAAATTATGTGAAAAAATAAAGTTATTTGCAAGCAAAACAAGTGACTTTTCTCTCTTTGTCTTTCCGTTTAAAAAAAACACCGGAAACAGTTGAATCTTACCTGAAATCCAGACGTTAGTGGCACAAACGGTATCCACAGCGACGCCGACCTCGCCACCAGGCTGACCAACAGCTCGCCACTGTCACGTGATAACTGCCACAAGAGCTTCCTGAAAAGCCTAGATGTTTTTGAAACGACGGGCGCTTGATTTCAGAACGGTAAAAAAAAAAAAAAAAAAAGAAGCAGCATATTTTGTTGGTTTTTTATTAACGACCTCGGTTCGGACAGGAAGTCCAAAACAAAACGGACACAGATGACCACATCTGTAGATGAGTGAGTGGGCTGGTGCTCACAGCATCATTATAAAAAAATCAAACAAAACTGACATTAAATATTTTATTATTCTTTCAAAATCTACAGCGTCTGTGTTCAGATTTGATCTCGAACTGAAGAGCTACAAACCCTTACAGACATGTGAAACAGGAAACAGTTCACAAGGAGAGCACGGACAACGCCAGGTCGGTCATTTACATCACAACGTCTTTCAGTTTAAGTGCTGACGGGACTCCCTCCCTCCCTGCGTCCTCTCCTACCTCCAACAGGGGACACGTGACATCAGGTGAGGGAGGTGCTTTAACGCTGTCGTCTCTGAGGGTCTAGTAGACGCACAGGTCAGGAAACTTCATCTCGTAGAGCGGCGTGGAGCGAGGCGGCGAGTGTCCAGACGGAGACGGGGGAGGACGTATGATCAGATCAAACACCCGGTCCAGTTTGGACTGAAGCAAGGAGCTCTGGAAAGAGAGAAACTTTATTTAGTATCGGCAAAATCTCACAAGACGACATGATGCAGCTGCGGGAAACCTTCTGATTAAACACTTTAATGTCTGGAGAAACAACACGTCCTCTTCTAGATGCCAGACAAAAAGCTACAAGCATCACTCACGGTTTCACAAACAGATATTTAAGACATGTTCGTGCCTTTACATTTATTCATTTAGCCGACGCTTTTATCCAAAGCGACTTACAGCTGCTGTACACGTCAGAGGTCGCACGCCTCTGGAGCAACGAGGGGTTAAGTGTCTTGCTCAGGGACGCGTTGGTATCACATAAAATTTGTTTTGATGATTGAAACACGTCAAAATTAGCAGGAAAATAGCCGAATCGGCTGCAGACTCTGTCTCTGCTGACCATCCAGACGCCGCCTACCTGCATCTGCTCAGCGACTGACCGGCCAGCACGCGACTGAGTAACTACTGACGCAGCTGCCGGCCGTCCAGACTGTTCAGTTCGGCCACAACAACAAAGACAGAGAGCGAGCAGAGGTCGGAGGTCACTCACCCTGGCTCCACAGTGAGCGGCGATCTCCTCGAAAGGAGCCGTCTGAAACCTCTCCACCAGCTGCATCCTCCTCCTCTCCTCTTCCTCCGCACTCCCCCTGTCGTCTGCAGTTTCAGAGGAAAATCATGTTTAAATAAATTGTTGAACATTTCCACAGTGATTCTGTTTGATTTTTCTCCCTTTGCACTTAAAAATACACATTTCTGTTTCTGATGCCTCAGCAATCTGCTGGATGTGTCTTAGTTAACAGAATCTCAATTATCTACTCGTTATTTTTGTTGGTTTTAAAACTCCCATTTTATCTTCACTATCTACATTCTAATAAAGTCTTCATCTCTTTATTGATTCGGCACCGATCACTTACCCATGGCGTTCTTCAGCGTCTCAAAGGTGATCTGCTCTGTCTGAGGTTTCTACAGGAGACAAAGAGAGATTATCAGACGACGGAGACAGAACACGCAAAGAACAAACAGACATAGAGACACAGACAGATGGACAGAAGGATGGACAGACGGACGGACGACAACGGACATAGAGACAGACAGACTGACAGACAGAAGGACAAACAGACATAGAGACAGACAGATGGACAGAAGGATGGACGGACAGAAGGACGAACAGACATAGAGACAGACAGACAGATGGACAGAAGGATGGACGGACAGAAGGCGAACAGACATAGACAGACAGACAGACAGATGGACAGAAGGATGGACAGACAGAAGGACAAACAGACATAGAGACAGACAGACAGATGGACAGAAGGACAAACAGACATAGAGACAGACAGACAGATGGACAGAAGGACGGTCAGACGGACGGACGGACAAACGGACATAGAGACAGACGGACGGACGGACAGAAGGACAAACAGACATAGAGACAGACAGACAGATGGACAGAAGGATGGACGGACAGAAGGATGAACAGACAAAGAGACAGACGGACAGAAGGATGGACGGGCAGAAGGACGACAGACATAGAGACAGACGGACAGACAGAAGACGAACGACATAGAAAACAGACCTGCTCTGGATAGAACTCAGGACAGAACTGAGGGTCGATGTCCGTCTGCATAGAGATGACGTCGCCAACACTCTTCCTCTTAGACAGACGATCTTCATCTAAAACACACACACAGTAATGCAGTCTACTCTGTGAATGGCGCCCTCTTCAGGGTATGGACACTTCTTACGAGCAAATATAAAGATTTCGGACAAGTAAGCAGATTCAGCAAAGACAGAATGTATTTTATAGTGTGTGCGTGTACCTGTTATCTGAGGTACGTATGGCGTGTTGATGCGTTCGCTGTGTTGCTGTAGCTGCTTCCTGTCAGCTTCGGAGATCTTTGACTGGACGAACAGAAAGTCTTCGTCCACTTTCAGCTCACCTTCTGGCAGTCTGACACACACACAATATTCATTAGTGATTTCAGTTTGACTGTAAAACACTGTATCGTCAGCAAATTAGAGAGATTTCTGTCTCTGCCACAGAAATGGTGCTTTTTTTTATAATACTTTATTAAAGTTCAAAAATATTTATTTAGGCCACAGCTACCATTGATGAGACTGAGGTCATGTCCTCAGTAATATTTCTTATCATTAGCGATTTGTGTTTTTGTATTAAGCACATCGTGAGCAATGTACAATCCAGGGTCAAATTCCTCGTATGTGTACACATACCTGACAAATAAAGCTGATTCTGATTAATGAGAAGATGTTTGTTCGGTTTGTTAAGACTTTAGCATTTTAGGCAGGAATTTAATAGAAAATAAAAGGGAGCTGGTGTTCTACTCCACACTTACATACATGACAGTAAAAGTGGATTTGAAACTGCATTTAAATTAGGGCTGAACGATTTGGGGAAAAAATCTAAATGCGATTTTTCAGCCAGATCTCGCGATTACGATTCTACGATTTGCAATTTCTTTAATTGAAGTTTTGCTAAAGTTCAATATTCACTGCTGGTCTATTTTTGACTAAAGCCGCATCAAGCAGCCCAGAGCAGATGAACCAGGCAGGAAGTCAGACCCAGAATGGCAGAGAGAATCTGGTCGATTTTCAAAATAAAACACCCTTGACAGATTTCCGATCGTACATCAACAGTAAACACAGTTCGTTTTTGTAAAATGTACACGCCCTGTGCACGCTCTGATTGGTGAGTAGGACCGTAACAGGAGGCGCTTGGCGCTTGTGATTAGCGAGCAGATCTGTCACATAAGGACGACAACGGAATGAATCTGTAACTGCATGACTGTTTAAAACGGCTCAGATATTTAGTTAACCTACATTTAATCGCCGTCTTCACGATTAGCTAATCACGTTTTTTCAAATCGCAATTTCGATTTGAAAACGATTCATCGTTCAGCCCGATTTTAAAGCAAAATGTTGGGAGATAAATTCAAAGAAATTTAACTGAAGTCAGGTGAATTGAAACGTTATAAAACGTTTTTTTTTGTTGTGTTTTTAAGTAAAAAGCTTTTAAGAGCTTAATTAAAAAGCTTCATTTGATTTGTGGATTTTTTTTGTTGGTAACTTTGAGTTCAGTTGAATACAAGTCGATGTGACGTTAACGCTCTCTCTCTCTCCAACATTATGTCTATGTCTCTCTACCTGGGTTTGTCACAGAACAGGTCTTTTGGCAGCAGGTGCTCGGCGCTCTTCTGTCGACTCTCTATGACCTGCAGACACATACACAGAAAGTAAATAAACTATACATGATGTTGTTTGTTGCAAACACACGCCTTCATTACCTGCTCACACGCACAGTCTTTCTTCTCACCTGTGCGACGTGTAGGCGGAGCGCTGGAGGCGGACCGAGCTGCGACAACAGGTTGAGGAAGGCGGCGCACACGGCGTGAACACCACAGCGGTTGAACCGGACAGACACTCGTGACTGGACAACGCCAGCTCCTGAACAGCCAATCACAAGAGAAAAAAACAATTAATCAGGGAAAGGATCAAGATTATTATCATCCTTACTACAGAAGCTCTGCTCACCTGCAGCGCGAGGACCAGTCGATCAGGTCCACCACCACCTCCTCATTGGCCAGTTCCACACTGAGTACGACCAACAAGGTGATGAGGGCCTGGTATGGCTCCGCCCGCTGCTCTCCTCCTTACAGGTAAGGTAGACTGTCTGTAGACGCTGAGCGTGCTGCATACAAAGCATTTCAATTAACTGCTTTCAAACTGCATTTAAGTTGTGATTACTGCGTCTTAATGGAGAGACATTTAACTAAAATGGGGGTTGTGTTGAATAGCGTCTCGTTCATGATGAGTGCTGTATCAATCAAACCTCTGTGGAGTCAGCAAGAATCAAAACACACGTGTGTGAAATTAACTGATTGAGGAGAGAGTTTGGATCATTTGATGTTGATCACTCAGATGTTTTGGGAAATGGTTTGTAAGTGCTGCAACAAATGCGAGGATACATAAGGTCCCTAAAAGTTGTTTAGAACTTCATCCCTGTAATTCTCTCTGCCGTCTCAGAAGAGACCCTTTTGTGCTGTGTCAGCCACCTAGCTGTCCTACGCTCTTGAAAGGTGAGGGGGCAGTGGTAGACTGACCGATGGTTGCAATTCAGAACCCTCACCCTAGATGCCACTAAATCTCACACACGAACCTTAAAAATGTGACTCTATGTGTAATCAATGAAGGTGATTGCTGGTCACATCTCTCTTCTTCCTCTTACCTTCCTGATGAACAAATTGTCCTGTCGAGAGCATCGGTCCTCCTTCAGCTCCAACACTGACACATCAAACATCTCGCTGGGACACAGAGAGAAAGAGAGTTTGTGATAATCAATACGTTTTTTACTCTAATAACACACAGAGGAGATCTTATATTAAATGCAGTGCTCCACCAGTGCTCTCTGATGGTGACTTATATCTGCTGAGGTGTGACCTGGCAGCGGTGAGTCTGCTGCTGTTGTGGCGTCTGTCGATGAGCGAGGTGAGGATGGAGAGGACCAGCAGACGGATTTCTGGATCCTCCATCAGAGTGAAGGACAGCAGAGGCTCCAAGAAGGACGAGGGCAACGCTGTCAACAGGTTACTGCTTTCATAGCGCTCCGATACCTGAAGCAGGGACGAGGCACGAAGACGACGTTAGACTGTCATGTCTCTCACACAGAAAGGAACGTCAGTAAATATAATATTTAGGGCTGGGCATGTTAACGATCCGTAGCTCGGGAGGTAGGTATTTCAGTCAGAAGATAGGTTGGTAGTTCAGGAGGTAGTTTAGTAGGTAGTTCTAGGTAGGTTGGAGGTACTTTGGAATGTAGTTGGAGTATGTCTTTCAATAGGAAGGTAGCTTCTTGGTTAGGCAGTTGGTAGTTTGGTGGAAAGGTAGTTTTATGGGTAGTTAAGTAGATCGTTCTGTAGATCGGTTGGTAGTTCAGTACTTAGGAAATTCAGTCTTGTGGTATTTTGGTGGTAAGGTTTGGTAGGAAGATAGTTTGGTGGGAAGGAATTTTTGTGGGATGGTAGTTTGGTATGGTAGGTAGTTCAGTAGGTAGACGATAGTTCCGTTGGTAGTTTTTTTTAGTATGTAATTCTAAATGTAGGTTGGGAGTACTTTGGTTTCTGTTAGATGGTAGGTCTGTTATAGTTCATTAGGGGAAGGCAGTTCAGTGGGTAGTTCAGTAGGTAGAAGGTAGTTCAGTAGGTAGGAAGGTAGTTCACTTGGTAGTTCAGTAGGTAGGAAGGTAGTTCACTTGGTAGAAGGTAGTTCACTTGGTAGTTCAGTAGGTAGGAAGGTAATTCCCTTGGTAGGAGGTAGTTCACTTGGTAGAAGGTAGTTCCTTGGTAGTTCAGTAGGTAGAAGGTATTCACTTGGTAGGAAGGTAGTTCACTTGGTAGTTCAGTAGGTAGGAAGGTAGTTCAGTTCAGTCGTTAGGCAGTTGGTAGTTTGGTGAAAGAGTTTTATGGGTAGTTAGTAGATCGTTCTGTAGATCGGTTTGTAGTTCAGTACTTAGGAACTTCAGTCTTGTGGTAGTTTGGTGGTAAGGTTTGGAAGGAAGATAGTTTGGTGGGAAGGATTTTATGTGGGATGGTAGTTTGGTATGGCAGGTAGTTCGGTAGGTAG